AGAAACTCTACTGAGCATGAAATAGGACTGTGAAAGAAAATTCCATATGTTGGGCAATTAATTTGTTCCAGAAATGGAATTACAAGCAATTGTTTGGATCTTAAGTATTTAATTGTGTCTCAAAAATTCAATTAAACCTTGTATTCAAGTGATCTCTCTTGAGTTTCCCTCAATATGTACTACCATGGAGCAACACAATTAGGATACAAAATTCAATAATTACATTTTTGAAAGGCCTATATCTTGGTGGGCACTAATTTCATACAATTACTAGTAAAGAAATCTGTGTTGCTCCTTTCAAAGCATTTACAGTGCTTCAGAATAACTCAGGCCTTTTTTTCCCCCAGACAGGCAGTCTTTGACTTGTTCGGCATCTAAGAGGTTTTTCTTTTTTCCTTTTGTCCTACCTCTCTGAGTAGAACCAAGAAGTTGTCTCTCCAGTTTCTGCTAAGACCTCTGTAATTATGCATCTTCTTTCCCACAAGATCCTGCCCTTGCTGGAGTGGTCCCAGCCTTGCACAAGATTCTTGGAATGGCTGTGTGCTTCTCTGACATGTCAATCCCACCCATCATCCCTCTGCTTCTTCTCTGCTTCAGCATCTTTTCCATCAGTATCCTTAAGGAGCTACACAGTCAAGTCTTTGGGATGCTGCAGATCCTCCTTGTCAGACTCTTTTTATGGGTGTTGAGGAGTAGTTGCAGCACACTCCCCTTTCTCAGCTGTTTCTAGGTTTCTCCTGTGGTAAATGCCTTCAAAGAGGAAGGAAGGTTTTGCATTGTATTAAACAAAAAGGATAAATCAGACAAGGTTCAAGCTTCAGCCTTGAAAATTTGACCCTTTGTTTTAAGCCATTTGTTTTTAAATACTGGGCTGCATCTTAGCATGAATTATGGGCTTACCACTCTGCTTGTGATTTCAATGCCAAAGCAGGACACTAGCAGTAAAAGGGAAAACAGAGATAAAAAGCTGTACTGCTTCCAAGAGTGGAGACAGAGCTAATTACTAACTTGCCAAACTGATAAAGTGGCAATGAAGGCCAGAATGGCAGATCATAATGTCAGCCTGCTAAAGTGTAACATGTGCAGATAAAAGTAAATTATTGTGTGTTACTGTCAGAAAAGCTGTGTTTTACCTGTTATCTTAATAATGGCACAGAAGAGTTAATCCTGTTTTGCCAGAAGCAGTTTTTTGCAATTTCTGGCAGAGCAGTAAATGGAGTCAGTTCTTTGGGCTAAAATAGTAATTGTTTAATTCAATATGATTGTTTAGTTCAAAATCAGAAAGAGCAAAAGCTGATTGTCACCTTAAATTTAATAATAATTAATCGTGGGATAGCAAATCCTTATTAAGCTCAATTAGGATTTCAGATTTTCTCCCAACCCTGTCTCCTTGCTTTGTCCTTCTCACTCAATCCCCTGATATTATAAAAAGCCTCACTGCATCCCAAATCCATTTTGCACTCTTGCTTTTATTGCCTTGGCAGTTTACAATATAGCTCTTTTGTTTACTTCGTCCCCTAAATTAAATTTCCTCTGCACCACATCCTCAGCCAGCCTAAGCCGGTGGAGCTCTATCAGCAACCACCACTCAGCTGATCCAGATGATGGAGCCCCATCCCATTAATCACTGGTGCTTTCCCCACCCCCAGGCAGATTGCTTGCACGGCGCTGGCAGCGTTCCTCTATCATCTGCTTGCTCACTAATAACACGATCCAGCGTTTATTGGGCTGCTCTGGCTCTCTGCACATTCAGCAGCAAAGCTGCTATTGATTGCATGATGGGCAAGCAGAACCAGCCCATACTCTGAGAGCTCTCTGCAAACTACAATGCAGTTAATTCACTAATGGTTTCTATGTGCCTTGCTCGTGTCACAGCAGAGAGGAAAGGTTTCAGCACGGCTGGACGGGTGCGGGAGGTGGTGCACATCACCAGTGTTGGGAGGACTCGAGAGTCACAAAAAGCAAATTGTGGGCTTTGCTCCAGCAAGGACACACTTTGGTAACTGTAAGGCTCATTGCCAAAGATTGTACTGTCTGTGCTGCCTGATTACATACATCAAATAAAAATACCAGATAAAAGCAGTACGAAAGATGAAGTATTTCAAGCAGAAAAAGTGAATATGATCTCACACAATCTGCTTGCTTTCAAAGAAGAAAACCACTCTAGATCCACTATATTTTTAATGAAATACCACTCTAAAAGGGTAACAAAGTTATTTTAAAACCCCATATATTCTTTAAAGAACAGAATGGAATGACATATTTGGCTCTAAACCAGATTTAAGACTTTCAATTTTGAGGATTATTACTGGGGACTATAATGCTTTCCAAAGTCTCTTCTAGTATTTTGTCAATGACAACAGGCATTAAAATAACATAAAGTCACTATAAAACTTGGCATTTTGCTGCCTATATTTCGTTTAGGTTTCTAAATAGTGGTGCTTTCATCTAGCAAGGAAAATCTATTCTTCACAGGATTTAAAACACATTGTTATTAAAAAGTCATAATTCAAATATTTTCATTATGCCACTTTTTGCAAATTTGGAAAGGTTCTGAAAAATATGCAAAATTAATTCAAGCAATTTTAAGCAGTATATTACCTTACATTAATTAATTATCTGTAGTTATTTTAAGGAGATGATTTTTAAAGTGTTTCAAAGAGTTTAGTCTTACAGCATTGCAGTTTAAAATATAGAATATAGCCCAGTGTAATAAAATGCATAACTACCGATGTAACTGACAGCAATAGAACAACATACAAAATACAGATACAAACACATATGACAATTTCATTGTCACTGGTATGTAAAAACCCACCATGGATACACAACCTGAGCTTGATTTGCTAATACTGTCTAAAAATAGAAAAGCAGTGAAAAATCAAGGAAGTCGTATGTGGTGCTTTATTTCCTACTCAGCTAGACTACTCGTCCCTACTACTACTCTGAAATAAGCAAGATAAAAATGTTCATTTTATTTAACTCACATTTTGGAGCATAGGTTGGTTCTGTTTCCAGCTGTAAGAACAGTTTTACCAGTTTAACATCCATACTTACCACATAGACTCTTAATCTTGTCCAGATTTAAGTGCAGGGCCAGCCTAATGCACACAGAAGCCCTGTTTACTTCAATATGTGACATCTGCAAGTGAAATAGCAATAACACACAGTCTTTATTTTCATGGTCATTGTTTTTGAGCAACCATTGATTTGAGAAATCAATGTTTTGACAAAACTATTTTTTTTGCAGTTCCCTTAACATCATTTATTAAATCCAAATCTATTTGAAGGCTTTATATGACTTTTTAATACAAGTAAATCAAATTTAAATGCAAGACCAGCTATGGATTTTTGGGGAATTTCTAACAAATGGACCAGGAAACCCATGACCTCCTCATTGGCTGGGGCTTTCTCCGGGGCAGTCCATCAAGATTCCCCTCAAAAGCACACTATCATTCTCTTCTCCACTCCAAACACCTCTTTCAGGATCTCCTCCTAAGGTGCAGTGCTCCACATCACCCTGTCCCATTCCATTCTGTGCTTTGCCTTGCCTTCTATTTCTCACCGTCCCCTGCTCTTGCCTGGCTGGAGCAGAGCTCAGTGTGGAGTAGCACTGGGTGACTTGGCTTTTCACAAGGATCATGTGCTGCTTTGGATCTGACAGTGAGGCTGAAGGACTTGCACGTGCAGAGCACTTTGGGAGGGGGAGATGAAGCTGGGCAAGGAGAAAGTGCTGCATAACAGGGGGATGGTTAATGAACCACATAGAAGTATTTAGAAGTCCTACTAATCCCCTCTGTAAAGAAAAAAAAATGCTATACTCTTCCATGAGTAAATTTTAGCCCCAGACATGTCCAAATATATGGTTATTTCTTACAGATATTCCACACAAAGCATCCATCAGCTCCCATGGCAGCTTCAGTAATTCAAACAGCTGCATCGTCAGGAGCCAAGAAGTATTGAATTCCTGTACTTCACACTGCTCCCAAGCATTTGTCAATTGAAAAGCATTTAGCTTAGTTTATTTTAGAGCAAATGTTTCCCTTTGCTCCCCAAACACATGCTACTCTTCAGATCTGAAGGGCTAGAAATACTGCAGAGCAGAAGGCTGTAATCACAGTAGCAGGAGGAGAGAAGCCAGGCTCAGGCATCCCTCTGAATCCAGGATCACTGTGATATGCTTTCCACCTGCCACATGAAGCATTGGATTCCTTATAAAATCAAGACTTAAACTTTGAAGGATGCTAATTTGATGCCCAGCTATGTCAAGGGACAGTATTTGCAAGAGAATGTGGAGTGTAAGCTTCCTGGAACCCGTAAAGGAGCATCTCTGGCACTAGCAAATAGAATTGCTGAAGAGCCTCTGGTTTTGCTGCATTTTTCTAAGATGCAGAATGGATAAAAAACAAAAAGCTCTCCCTACCTAGACTTCTTTTACTAACCTATATACTAAAGGTTCTCAAAAATAGAGAGGTGTCTAAATTGTAAAGGAATAAACTGCCTGTATTGATAATTGTGCATGTAGTAAGCGACTTTGAATACAGACAAAAGCTGTGTTGTTAATGTGAGCCTGACATGCTTCAAGACCTTATCAAATCACCTAGTGGAAACAACAGGGCTCCACTGTCTTACAGGAGCTAAACTCATTTCTTCAATTAATTCTTCAGTATTCCACTGACTTTCAGCTCTTACTTCAAGAAAAACATTGCATGCATTTTCTTCTCTGTAATATAAGTTGTATTTTCTTGAGTATTGAAAGCAACTGAGAAGCAGAGAGAATAGGGTCTTTAGAACACCTTTTTCACATGTTCACACACTGTCTGAATCACATTTACAGGAAGATGTCAGCCTTTCGGGCACAGCTAGAAGGATGTCTGTGCTGCCATGAGAGCAGACCTCTGTACTGCCAAATGCCTCATGACTGTCACAGTACATCACAATACCTAACTGGGAAATTATTTTTATTATTGAAACTATTTTCTTTGGCTTTTCTGCTTTAGGCTCTTCAGACATACCAGACTGATCCTGACATGAGAAAGATGCTAACTCAGCTGTATTTCTATATTATGCCTGTATTTAACGTGGATGGATATCATTTCAGCTGGACAAATGTAAGTAATGGCAGTAGTATTATTCAAAAAATTATTCAGACAAGATCAAATGGTTATTACATTATTCAAAGGTGAGTCTGTATAAATCTGGTCCAGCACTTTATGCCTTAAAAATAAATTATTCAACTTAGAATACTGAATATGTTTACCAGGGTCGATTTGTTATATGTACAAATAGATTTTTGCCAAAAGAGAGTAATATTGCTATTTAAATATTTTGTAACTTGTGCTAGGATCGATTTTGGAGACTCTTTATAAATCTGGTCCATCACTTTATGCCTTGAAAATAAATTATTCTACTTAAAACAGAATACTGAATATGTTTACCAGGGTTGATTTGTTATATGTACAAATATATTTTTGCCAAAATAGAGTAATATTGCTATTTAAATATTTTGTAACTTGTGCTAGGATCGATTTTGGAGAAAAACAAGATCAAAGAACATGAGGTTTCACTGTCATGGTGTTGATGCTAATCGCAACTGGAAAGTGAAATGGTGTGGTAAGTATGGAGATACTTTTGTCCCCCAGTTCAGATTACCCTGTATTTAATTATCCAACAGAGGTAATTATCCAAGTAGGTTAGATCACATCTGTTGTGAAGTGTTCTCTTTTCCACAGTTGAAGTTGAAGATTTTTTCCCATAAAGCCATAAGCCAAGGCTCAAATCTTCCTAATAACTTCTAAAAAATAAAAGTTCTCAAACTTGGAAAAGTAGACATCATAAGTAAAAACCTGAAATGAGGAATGTGGCAAAAATTTTTAAATCACACATACAGCTATTCTGTATTTTGGCAATCATATAAATAAATTTGAAGCATAACATTGAAAATGAACCATGACTTTTCAAGATGTACCTAACTGTAGCTTCAGGAAACATTTCAAGCTTCATTTTATCTAATTTGCCATTTCTCTGAAATTATTTTAGTTTTGGAAATGTCAAACTTATTTTGCTGGCCTCAGTGTCCTTAAGTCTATTATTATCAGTGAGTTAATAAAGAAAGAAGGTGCTTCTAAATGCATGGAGATACAATTTTAAACTCCCAGCACTCCTGTAAGTACTTCATAAAAATTGGCCTGACTTTTGCATAGAGAACACAGTGGTAATGAAATAACTGCCAGAAGATTTGGAATGGATACACCAAGAAAAAGTGGTATTTTCTTAAATCTTACATAAAGATAGTGCTATTCACACGGAGTAAGCAGCCCCTAAAGATTCCACTGTAAGGAAGTAAGAACATTTAAATATGGCAATATATATTCCTGCTGACCTGCCCTCCCATTTTAAGGCACTTCCTTCAGCTCTCTGTGCAGCTGTTTCCTCATCCAGCATTAGTCCACCATCCTTATTTATATTACAAGCTGGTAAAGACAAGAAATTGTGTTTGCATAGTGCAAGGGCCCTGCCTTCAGCCCATCCCTCTTCCTCTAGATGTTTCCACAATACTCTTGCAGTGGGGTGAGTACTGTACAGTCTGGCTTGAAACAGCTGGATTCTTTAAGTAGGGCTTTGAGAATTGTGGGGATGAAAGTGAGTGTGGACAAATGCATACATTCAATCCAGCATGGACCTGTGACATTTCCTTCAAATTGTTTTCAACTCTACCTGCTCTAAGGAGAGGACTGAGACAGAAGCATTTACAGAAAGCCTGTGTTGGTTGAGAAACCCTCTGTTACAGAAGACAGGCTCAGAGCTGCTATCACAATCTTTAAGGCAACTTTATGCTGCAAAAATAATGTAAAAATGAACCAGTCCTGCATCACTGTTACCATGGTTTATTTAAGTGCATAATCCACAACTGCAGGTACCTTTTGGGGACATCCATTTACTGTTCACAAAATAGCCATTGGCATAGCTGGAATGATCAGTTCTCTTATATTGTGTTGAGAGATGTTAGATACGTATCAGTGCAAAATTAATACTCAGTGCATTTTCTTTCTAATTCTAATTAATTTTTCTTGTGTTCCCCCCCCCTCTTCCTGCTCCCTAGCATTAAAACTGTATTAAAACATATTTTTTATTCAGCCCTAAAAATGTTTGCTTAGTTTTCATTCAAAAAACTATTTTCTAGGCTTAGTGATACTGTAACCATACTCACACGTGTTGTGTGCTGTAATCCCTTACTTGTTGCATTTCTCCCCTGCACTGACATGAAAGACAGGTCCCCACCACAAGTTTAAAAAATAAAAATTCTTTCAAGTCTGCTTTCAAGTCATCCCAAAAAGCTCCACATGCTCTGCTTCCTGCTTTGGACCCCAAAGTCTGTCTAATCATCTATTTTAATGGAGAATAAAAAGGTCTGTCATGAACTGGGCTGACTGGTACTCAGATGACCCTAACCAGTCACCTGGCATTCTCATTAATATCTGATATTAGATGAGTCAGAGAAGAACCTGGCTCATATCACACTTTGAGGCTTGTGTAATCATGGTGTGTTTAACATTTTAAACTGCATGTGCTTGTAAAAACCTTTTCACTCAGTTGAGTTGCACTTAAGAGTTTTCAGACAGGCTTGAACTTCATGGTGGGGCTTCCAGGCAGGTGTGCTGTGGCAGACTCTGGTGTCAGCAAAGCCACCAAATGCTATCAGCGGTGAGCTAGTCAGTGCTGATAGCACAGCATCCCATCTGCTTTCCTCTTCCTTTCTAGTGTAGGACTTTGATGTAAGCTTTATGACTCTCTAGGGACCAAGCCAAGGGCCATATCACTGCTAGATTTCATGTTGCAGCAACCTGTACTCAAAACAGTGCACACAAATTGCACACAGGCCCATGTGAATACTGTCAGCAAGAACTCTGGGTAGAAATGCTCCTTGCAAAGCACATATATGTGCAATAACTAGTACAATGGTTTAATGATAATGAAATAATAGCAACTTTTAAGCAAATAATCAGGTACTTAGAATTAATTTAAGTCATAGGGCAAATCTAGTTAAACTGGTTGCATCCCAAGAGAGCAACAGTGGGAGTTAAAATTTCCAGTACATCCCAATTTCCAGTGCACCCCAGTGCTCACTGAGGACAGTATCCCATACTGGCAGACGTGGCTGCAAGGAAGTTTGAAAGCCATGCTGTAGCTCATTTATCCTGTCAGTCGTCCTTCTGTACCAGAGCACTGGTTTTAATCAGTCTAGGCACACATTTCCTCTGTTCATTGGATCTCATGATGGATGTCAGAGGATCCTTGTCCTCCCCTGGTATGCTATCAGGTACAAAAACAAGGCAGCATGGTAACATTTTACACAATTCTATTTGCTTCTCATGACTGTAACTTAGAAATGTCACAGGAGTTTATACATACTGTATCTACTCTTTTTTCATTCTTGAGTTACTTAAAGAACTTCCAGTATGAAAACTGAAAACATTATCCAAGGCCACCATGGAAACCTCCTCCTTTTACCAGTCAGCTTCACATAAGGTAAAGCACTAACTACCTATGGGATGGTACATGTCTCACCATAATAGGCTGAACAGTTTAGAGAGGTTTTTTCCTTCCCTGGAAGTCTCTAAACTGAGCCATATTTTACCATTGGGTCATTTTACCATTATCTTGTAGAGATCCACTGTTTATTAACAGTGTTATCCATTGCCATGATTCAGTATACAACACTGAAACAGGAGATGAAGTATCCATTTAAAAAATAAAAAGAAAAAAAAAGGCAAATGCTCTGGAGACTGTTCAATAGCTCTCCTGCAGCTATATTATCTGATAAGAAATCGAGGCAGAGTGCTCTTGGGATTTGGATGACTTGGTGGCCATCTGTTCTGCATGGAGAAGACCATCTGCCCTCTCTATAACCCTTCCATATTCACTGTGGTCCAAGCACTAATACCTTTTGAAACCCCCACCTGAGGCCATTGAATGGTAGCCTCAATTTTCATCTTACAAATGAAACCGCAGCATAAAATTCTCCCACTTTTTTTTTTTTTTTTTTTTTGGCATTAGGTTGATTGCATAACCCTGTTTTAGTTGATATCATTATGCCTTCTCATACACAGCTCTTTTCTTATTAATTGAAGGTGGCAGTACTTACTATACAAAGGAAAGCTAATAAAACACCATTGTTGTAAGTCCCTGATGGCTCCAGGGAAGTTTGCAAGCAAACTATTATTATTCTGCAGGTCAATGTAAAACGTGTGATATTTTGAAATTGCAGCAGATGAAAGAGCAGAGTAGATTTGCATAAATATTGTTCTTTTAGGCCCAGGCCCTAAGCTGCAAATGAGACAATGGCTTAGATCCAGAATTGCTAAATTATAAAGGAGCCACCACCACATCTCCTTTCCCAAGTTTCATCTTTCAATACCTCAAGGCATATTATATTTAGGCTACTCTTTTGCAGCTTGCTGCCACCTGAGCAGGTTGACACAAAGATATCCTCAAAACCGAACCCCTGCCCCAAACTTGAAGCAAAGTTAGGCCCTGTGCAAACTGAGGTGATTTCTAATTTAGCTGACTGAGCAGTCATTCCATGTGGCTTTTTTTTTTTTTTCCTATGAGGTTTGCAGGAGTGAAAATAGGCAGTAGTCAGGAGCTATTAACATGTATTTAAGATAATCCTTGTTGAGTTGTCTACCTACCATTGTTGTAGGTAATACATTAAAAGCTGTAAAAGGCTACATTGGTCCTGGGAGTGACTAATGAAAGAGGTATAGCTCTGATTTCAAATAGACCAACTGAGACCTGTCAGTAGTTCTAATACTGCAATGCTGATGCAGAAAGCCAGGAAGAAAATACAATGAAGTCAGGTTCTCCTTTTTCACTTGGAAAGAATGTATCCTCTGGGGAGAATCGTGTGTAGTTGGTAGATTGGGAGCTTTGTGTGTCTAGGAGATGAACAAGCAGATTGCTGCACTGAGGTCCCCTAGGCTCACACCTATCAGGCACAAAAAAGCAATTTAATTTGTCTATTGCTTTTCACGCTTTTGCACATGGGCCAAAAGAGGCTCAGCCAGAAGCTGACCCTTGGAATTTCTCTGTGATTGTTCACCAGCTTTCTCTTTCAACCTCTAGATGAAGGTGCTTCACTACACCCATGTGATGACACTTACTGTGGTCCTTTTCCCGAGTCTGAGCCTGAAGTAAAGGCTGTTGCTCATTTTCTTCGCAAACACCGGAAACAAATAAAAGCCTATTTGTCCTTCCATGCCTATGCACAGATGCTGCTGTACCCTTACTCCTACAAATATGCAACCATTCCCAACTTCAACTGCGTGGTAAGTACATTAAAACTTGGAGAATGTGCTCCTCTGTATATTTTTGGTACATTTTGTCTTGAGAGGAGACTTGTTTCTTCAATACTTTGCACATATGTAATATTGAGCAGTATTTATTCTCGATCCACTTGCAATCACATTTCTGGTTATATAACCTTCACTCACCATGAGTCAGTGGTGATTTGATTAAAATGGTATCATGCCTTTCATCCATCAGTCCCTTTAAATTACTTTATAGGATAAATCCCTAATTTTAATTATAGTTATTATCATTTTATTTAATTAACTGTAATGGGAATTACGTAGTTGGGTCCTTGGGCATCTAGCTGAAATTCTGTCTCTTCGTGCTCAGAACTTAAACACTAGAAGCTCAAAGAAGAGCATCTTCAATGCTATGAAACTCTTTATGTTTATCAATTCAAGGAGGAATCTCTTAGATCTCACCAAAATTAAAGCTTCAATTGCACTATGTATCATTCAGGTCAGACATAGTGTTTTTAACCCTTTCAGACAACCAGGTAATTAAAACCAGGAGCTTCTCTACATTAGAAAAATAAATTTAAAATAGCACATTTTTTGATTTAAGCCTATTGATTCACAGATGAGCACATTTAATGTATTCCACACTCATCCAAATGCAGAGCTATTCCCTCTGCTTGCAGTCTGAGGTCTGTTTTAGCCAGCCTCCTGTTCACAAAACCCCCCTTATGGCTTATTCTCTGAGGGACACATGGCTAAGCTTTGCTATCTATTTGCTCCTGCTCACAGACCCACACTGCACCAAGAGTTGCAAGCCTCTTTCTTTCACCCTCAGTCCTGAGTAAAATTACATTTTCCATTTATCTCCCATTTTGACCTTGAAAGTTGCAGTGACTTTTAACTTACTGGTTTAAGCTAGTTTTCTCCAAAGGAGCTTAGCTGTGTGTCCTGGCTTGTAAAACCAAGACACTGTGCCTTAGATTTGTCCTGTGCAGAATAAATGATGTTGTCAGTCCCTGGGGCTTCAGTAAAGTTTCACTCAGCTGTTCCCTCAGGAAGCTGAGCAGCCAGGACTCCACAAACTAAACTCTCTTTGTAAGTTTATTTCTGTTGAGACACTTAATTTCAGTAGCTATTAAACATTCTTCTGTCTGATGCCATTCCTGTGAAACAGAGCAAATTAGAAGTTAACTAAGCAGCCAGAGGATCTAAAAATATGTGACTTTAGGGAACTGATCACCAAACCCTGTAATGACTGTGGGTAAATTTATGATTTTTTTTTTAGTTAGCATTAGAAAATAGACTGGGAATTTAAAATCAGAGGTTCTCATTCCTTTGAAGATCAGCAGGACCAAAAAAATTTTTTTTAAGAACAAACAACAGAGAAAAAGGTAAAGACATAGTGTTAAGAAGAATCAGCAACTTCTCTGCAAGTATATGATTATTGGGTATCTGACTAAATTGTGCAGAGTAATACAAGGCAATAGCAGATGTTATAGATGGGAAATTCGTTGTAAGGAGAAGACTTATCTGCCAGTTTTCACACACACCAGTATATTTTGTTGTTCTTGTTGCTTAAGGGGTAATTCCATTCTGAGATGGAGTGTAACTGCCCCTCATCTCGTACACATTCTGCCTTTCCATCCATTGCTTTTAGACCAGAGGATCCCAATTTTTGATGTTTAGAAGGTGTTCCTCAGGTTTGCAAGGCCGTGGATCAGGCTTCTCATGAGAGGGAGTGGAGCACAGACCTAAAGGAACAAAAAAAGAAACTATTTTAAACAATTCCCAAGGACAAATAAAAACCAAATACCAATTCTAAATCTCTTATCAGTATCTGAACTTCATACTGCTTTTCAATGTGGTCAGTCAAAAACAAGTCAGAGGTTGAAATAGGAAACAGAAATAATTTCCTGTTATTTATAAAGCTCTTTATAGGAATCATAGTGAAAACTAAGGGAATACTTGTTGGTTATTTATTTGTGCATTTTAACACTTGCCTACAGCCAAAGACTCCATTACCTGGTGGCTCATAAATGTAATTTTTTTAAAATTTCAAATCCCCAAAATTATTATTTAGGCTGAGGTTTCATATTCTCCAGTTTTCTTGGAAATTGCAGTGAGCTGGAAAGTGATAGATCTCTGTTTTCTGACACTGATGGAGCAAGCATTGCTGGTCTACGTGGGCGGTGCGCAGTGGAAAACAGTAAGACCCCACATGCATAGCAGATAAATAGCTTTTGGTGCTAACAGTGGGCTACGATTAATTTTGAGCAGAAGAAAGTCTGTTCCTGTCTGGGTCAGATCATTCTAGTGAGCTGTCAGTTACCATTTCAATTAAAGTGTTCAATTATTCAGAGCTGCTTTGAAACTGGAGAGCTGTGTACTGATCACAACATGCATATATTCTGTTCTAATTTAGGCACAACTCTCTTATTAACACTCCCCTGAAATCTGTTCTTTTAAGATGCTTAAAATGAAAGTACTCTTTTAGATTGAAAAAAACACCAGCAGAAACACACATCCATCTCGAGAGTTTTAAATTTCACCTGATTTTCATCCTTTTTTTCCTGTACTGTCATTTGCCTGAGTGTTTGCAGTGAACTTATATGGCATGACTGAGTTTGTGTACATCTTTGCAAAAATCTGGTAATTTTATGTGGCATTTTCTCCTTGAGGGTGTTCAAAGACTGGTTGCCTGGATTTATTCAGCATCCAACCTGCACAGTATGATGCAGTTGAGAACTGTCCCTTTTTGGGGCACATGGCTCTAACAGTGGAAGCCAGCTGCATTCCTCAAGGCTTAGAGCTTAAAATTCACAGTGCTCAGAGATGCCTGCCCACATGGTGAACATGGACTTGGGATGCTCCTGGTCTGACCTCCAGATAGTTTCTGCCTCTGCACAGAACCCATTACTGTTATGCTGATTTTAAATTGGTATTGCCAAACTATTTATTGGAAAGAAATTAACAGGATTATCTGTTGTCTCATTGCTGTACAGTGCATAACTCATGCACAGGGAGTCTTCTCATTTGTGGCTATGTTCTACTTGCCATGGTGCATTCATCAGTTCTCCAGCCTTCTCAGCTCTCCCAGCTGAGCCCTGTCTCCTGCTCCCTTGGCCTCTTGTCAGGCCATGCCAGCTCCTCATCAAGACCCTGGGACGGTAAGCAGAGCTGCTTGCAAATTTTGATTGAGCAACAAACTTGAGACAATGCAGGCACCAGACATCAGCTCCTGGCCACAGCTGGAGCTCACCCTTCCCGGGCCCTGTGCAGCCACAGCCACCACAGTGACCTCACACTGCCACCCTGCCACCCTCACAGGGTCCAGCAACTCCAACCCCATCATGGGTCTTGTGTGTCACAACTCAGAAGTCAAGGCATCTGGAGCAAGAGTGCCAAGTGGCAGCACTTCTCCCCTCTCCCACAGGACAGACCCTTCTCATCTTTGGTGTTAGGGTGAGTCAGAGGTTACCCCTACACTGGCTGATAATCACATCCCAACCCTGCAGAAGTTCCAGAAACACTGAGTTAAGCAGTCCTTGCCCCCACACACTCTCCAGTAGAGGTGGCAAGAGGTCAAGCTGAAAAGGGCAGAGTCTCCAGCACCATCGTCCTTCTGCTAAACAAACAAAAATTCTGGTTGTGCCTAACAAATGCTTGTAATGGAGTAAAAATGTGCTCTTTCATTTGCTGAGTTACTGTGCAAAATAAACTCACCAAAGCTCTACCAGCACATCAAGAAGTGAAAATGAACTTATTTTTGTTTCTGGAATGACATTTTAAAAGTTTTCTCTGGCTTCTCTACTTGGACAGACAAAGCCTGCATGGGTCAGAGCAAGGATTAAGTCAGAATCCCAACTCCTGACAAGGGCAAACAAGTGGAAGGTTAGGAAAAACATAATCAATGGAAAGGCAAGTAGAGGGTAATCCTTCCCCAGTGTATTCATTTAGTGCCTGATAAATAACAAGGTAAGGACTAAGTTCATGAAAACTTGCATAAACCAAACAAACCCATTCAAGGAAATAAAACAACTAAAACAACCATTGCAGCTTCATGCAGTGGTTCAAAGTCCAGAGTTTCTAGCTCCAAAGATAATAATTTCCTGTTCTCTACAGACAGATGACTGTGTTTTCCCAGCCTTCATTGTATATTTGCCAGCATCCTTTTCTTTGGGATAATACTCCTTTTTCTTTTAAATACGTGTATCCTTTCTGTGTGTTTCGATGCACTATCCATATGTGACTCTCAGAATTTTCCATGGGCCAGGCCTTTTGCACAAAGGATGGACCATCCAGTTTCACAGGATGAACCATGAACCTCCTAAACAGCCTTTCAGCTGCAAGCTGTTGCAATGTAGGCACTGATTTTCCCTCTACAGGACTGAAATCACATTTCTGAAATAGTGGAAAGAGCTCTCCAACACTACATCATCAGGCCCCAGAGAACGTTAGACCAGCAGTGAACATTTACCTGCTGATCAGAGATTCGGGAGTGGAACTTGTCCCCTTCCATCTTCCCACTCTGCTCACTGAACCACTGTGAGTGTCAACAAGACATCATTTCTCCTTCACAAGCCCAGCAAGGTTTAGTGAACTGGGAAATTCATGTTCAGAAAAATGCATGCATGGCTTTTAAACTGCATAAAAAGAGATTATTTCATCTCATGGTCTTACGTGTCATCTAAATTTGTCGTGTTGCTAAATTGACATATATACCTATAATTACAAATACTTGACATCTGATCATTCACGGCGCAGTGAGCTCTTTTATATAATACAAAACGAAGTTTTTCAGGGAATTGCTGTCATTAAAAATAAATAATGCATTTATCCTTTACAATCATTTTAATTTAGCTGCCACAGACTCATGGAAGACAGCATTGTGCCAGAGGTCAATGATCCATTGACTCAGATTCCAATCATAATACAGTATTTAATTCAAAGTCTAATTTATGTATTTGATTTTTTTCTTCTCCCCAGGAATCAGCAGCCTATAATGCTGTTAATGCTCTTCAGTCAGCCTATGGTGTAAGATACAGATACGGCCCTGCATCCAGCACTTTGTGTAAGTTTCCCTCTGCAGGTTTGTGACTTCGACCTTCCTACAGTAAGAAGGAGAAAACCCTTATTATAACAAAGAATGCAAACACTATTTAAAGTGAACTTTGTTCCGGTTTTGGGTTGTGAGGAAGGCAGAAGAAAGTTTTGCAACTGATCCAGTCAGTTGATTGCAGTAATATTAACTCAACTGATGCAATGCACTTGAGAGTCAAAAGCCAGATAATAACATATATTCATATATATTATATGTATATATAATATATATATTCATATAATATAAAACTGTGGGGTTTTTTAAAAAATAAAAACTAAGGTTTGAGAGTCAAAAGTCAGAAAATAACATATTCATATAATATAAAACTGTGGGGTTTTTTAAAAATAAAAACTAAGGTCTTAAAAACCATATCTTTATCAGATACTGCCAATGCACTGCTAAGATGCAATAGCATATGTCAGGCAAGTTCTCTGTACAGAGGTAAAAGTAAAAGAAGTTCAACAGGTTTTAACAAGACACTTTTGTTTCTTTACTGAAACCTTGAGGTCTGAATGCTGTGGCTAATGATAACAGACATTGCAAAAAGTGAAAAGCTAAAGACTTTCCACAAGTAACTTCCTGCATCTCCTCTGCCATTGCTGTGTTTCAGCTACAGTTCCACTTATCACAGGCCTCCATCTCACAGCATAGTCATCCTCTTGTGCTCATTACACTGCAGTCAGTCACTGTGTCAAAGGAAAAGCAGTGTGAATTGATGCCAGAATTGCACAGGTTACAGCAGGCCATATGAGAGATTTTTCTGTATAAAAAGTGTGTGTTGGATAATCAACATATGGAGATAACAAAAATATAAGCAGCACATTTCCTCAGGAAGGTTTGTTAATATTAGACATCACCTATGCAAATGCTCTCATGCTGTGGGGAAATTGTGAGAAAGTAAGACAAATGAAAATAATTTTAAAAGCATTTTTAAAAGAAGATGGCAGATTACCAACTTTCCTCCTTCTCACTGCAAATGAATTGCCTAAAAAACCCAATTTAAAGCTAGGAGCAGCAGAGTTCTCCAGTCCACCTGGGAGATCTTTATGGAAAGAAAGCTTCAGACTGTGTTCACATGGAGACAGGAACAGTTTGAGGCTTTATTCTAGATATTCAGTTTTATTAAAGTTTTGCTTTACACAAAACAGTTATAGTATTTTTTCTTATGAAAATGAAGGGACTAATCCATATTGTGCTGAGCACATTTCACCAAGTGCTGAGTGTTCATGCTATTCTCTGAAGGGCGTTTGGGATCAGGACAAGCAACAGCTGGAGTTGCAAGAATACTCACTGAGTCCCAGAGACAAAATGCCACAACAACCCTCTGGTGATTTCAGCATGATCTCCATGTAACATTTTTTAATGCTTTCTCTGAATTTCCTCTTTCAGATGTGAGTTCTGGCAGCTCTATGGACTGGGCTTACAAAAATGGCATCCCATATGCATTTGCATTCGAGCTGCGTGACACTGGCCATTTTGGATTTCTGCTTCCCGAAATGCTGATCAAACCAACCTGCACAGAGACCATGCTTGCAGTTAAAAATATTACTCTTCACTTGCTGAAGAAATGTCATTGAGATGGATTTCTGTGAGCTGGAAGGAAACATTTTACTCCTAGTGCTGATGCCTTTCAGTGTATTCAGTTGCCATCCTAAGTATGGCCACTTCAGAATTCAGAAGCTAATGGGAAATGTGATATTGTTTCTGCCAAATTAACTTAGTGGAAAATGGGAAAAAAATGATTCAATAGCTGCTCTTCTAAAGTCCATAAAGCTGATATACTAACTTAGTTACCAGTTTGGTGCAGAATAGTTCCTTCTTTTTGCAATAATTCTGCAATTTCAGTGAGGCCGGTTCTAATATAAAGTGCTACTTCCAGGCAGTTCTGGGCCTTACACCTTTCCCTAATATGAAGACCTCCCAGGGGGTCTCTCAAACCAAGGGATAAAGTTTACATTCATGTAAATATACCCTGTGACCCGACACAGGCCTGTATCTACAGCAATAAATGCCTTATAGTGGTAGCTGGCTGCACTGCAAGTGGAGGTGTGGCTTCCTTCTGCGTGTATACGTACATATATGCACTTTTGTGATTTTTTTTTTAATTCATATTATGCAATAATTTGAAAAAGGTTTCTTTTAACTGTTTAGAGAAATCTACTTTCAAATGGATATAATTGGAGTGGACTCAAAATCAACATATTGTCTTTGAAAATGTAGCTTTCCTAGTGATGTATAAGAATGATAATGAAATACTATTGAGATAGACATTGTTCTGCTTTATGGAGAAACCAAACAACTTGCCATGAGTTGGAACTTGAAGCTGGCAGTCAACTGGTGCATCTGTGCTCTGCTGTGGATAGTGACTGTCCATTTCAACCAGCCAAGGATTTAGCCTTAAACTGTAATTAACTGATGTTTTATTTATCAATATTCTTGCAGTGAGTTCTGTGGCTCTTTGGCTATGTAGCTCTTCTTCCTGGAAGCTGTATTGTTTTGCATGTTTTAAAGGAATTAATAAATTTTTAATAGATTCTTAAGTGAGACAGAGGTGAAGGTAAGTCTTACACAGCTGAAATAAAGTGAATAAGCACCACGTTTGAAAGAATAATGAAAGCAAAGAGAAGATAACATGTTGAGGGATTTTTAGTACTTTTAAAATACTATTTCTAAAATCTTATTATATCTGCAGAAGCATCTATTTTACTTAATGATTTTTGAATTTAATCTTATGCCACTACATATTAACTAAAACATATTTGTTAATAAAATGGTCAAAGACTTTTGAAGCATTCTTCATATTTTACTTAAGTGTCAAAACTTTGGTTCAAGTATGTAGCAATTTTACCTATCTGTAAAACATTCCTGACGCTAAGGATAGGGAATTTAAAGAAAAACAAACCTAAGTCCTCTCTAATAAGCACTTGAACTTAGCAAATGGGCAATCTTTAGAAGTCTTATAAGGGAAGTACTCTATTTAATTAAGCATATAATTGTTTTCAGGACTGCAAAAGGCAATCAGTGAACAAAGATGACAGAATTACATTCTATTTGTCTAACATTTTGTTAATAAATGTGTTTATTTCACACAAGTTTTGTTTAATTCAGTCTTGTTTGAGTAATGTAAGTTTCTATTCTGATTTATTAAATGTCTAGGGGACAGAAGCCCTCAAAATAATACTTTTCAATTGCTTATGACAATAACCATTAAATATTTTGAAGACAGCAATAACTGTCTTTTGCTATGCACAGATTCCTGACCAATGGCCTTAACAGCAGTATAAAGGATTAGCACCAATCATTATGTGTTATTCTGAATTTAGGTAACAAGACTGAACTTACTACAAAGACATAAGAGACTGAAGAAGAGAATGAATGAATGAGGGATGTCTAATTAGCATGAGGCAAATTTACCTCTGAATTACAAGCATGGAGCAGGAGCAGCCAGATTCTTATGTGGTGGTTTGATTCCTGCTTGCAGTCCAGTAGTTCACCACGTGAACCATTTCAGCTTTATCTTCACACCATTACAATGGCACTGGCAATGAAAAGTAATTGAACTCTTGGAACAAGGAAAGGAAACAAACAAATATCTTCCTTTAGGTACCAAAAGGACCTAACATTGTAGACCAAGTTGACCTTCTTGGACAGGCCTAACTGTAAGTATTAGATTTATCTAAGAAGCTTTGGCATTTAAAAGTACTTGACAGCAAACCCTTTCTATGAATAAAGCTACACACTAGTATATGGATGGACTCTGCTTGAGTACTATCTATGACATGCAACTGAGAACTCTGAGCTGACTTTTTAAGACCTGTGCAGAGTAATTTAATGCCCCATAGCTGAATACAAGTGTAAACAGGCTCTGAGCCCTTTAATTTCAGGGTCATTAAAGCTGGTGGAAAGACAGTTGCTAGGAAAGAACGAACTCTGTTTCCTGAATTAAATTTTTGTAAGATAATTTTTCATCAAAAGAGTGATTTAAATGGAGTCATTTACCCTAAGGAAAAGACTAATGGCAACCAGCTATTTGGATATGAAATCATATAGCTTTTGTGACTTATAAATGTTACTTCGTAATAACAGCTCTTCTTTATCTCTATAATTGCTTGCTTCTCTTCCCTTTGTATTTTTCAGCAATTTTTATTGACTACACAACAGAATTGAAAGCTGGTTTTGAGAAAAGTAAATTTATTTTATGATCATAGGTACAGCTTATCATTCAACACAATAAAAAGCACATAAACAACAAAACACTGTTTAGTAACCCAGCAGTCAAAATCACATATAGAGTGATTATAGGAAATCCAGAAGTTACAATTCTACTGATTATTGATAGAATAATTACAACCATTTCTGTAACTTTGTTCTTTTTTTTAATGCTTTTAATTTTTATAAACAAACCTCTGAGATTATTTAATAGGAAGGAAACAGGTCCATGCCTCTTCAAGTCACCCTTCCCGAAAACAAGCATCACAAATGATTTATTATGTTAAATTATCATTCTTACATTGATTTTAAAAATGCCTTTCGAGATCAAAAAATTATTGAGCTTTGTTGCAAACCTTGATTAAAGACCACTGCTGATGGCTGAAGCTCCTTGTATATTTTCCAGATGTTGCTTCAGAAAGGTCAGTGTATTCAGTCACTCGTAACATATAAAGCCTATGGAAAACTGCAATTCCTTTCTAAGAACTGCAATACCTTTTCTGAAATCTGAATTGGAAGAGTCCAAATGACCTTGAATGCCAGCATGCATTTATATGCAGAGCCAGTATGCTTGTCTATAGGAAACAGCATTGTGCAGATTGAGCTGCCTCCTCAAGGACTGTAAAAAATATCCATTCCATACAGAAGCTCTGTATTTCCTATGAAAAATAAGTTAATATTCAACTGCTCCAGTTTATTTATGTTTAAAAAAATCCCTTCACTTTTTGTATTTACATTCATTTTAATGACAATTAAAGAATAAGATACTTGGTAGCATGGGTAGGGTAATAAGTACTTTTGTAGGCACTTTGATCTTTCCTTTGGCTGCACAAAACTACATCATTTCCATAGTTCACTTTTTTGTAGCAGTCACATTTAGTCTCACACATGCATTCCTGTTTTTGAATTCTGTGCCTAAAAGCCATGTATTACCATCTTCAAGCAGTTCTTTAGTGATGGTAAAACACCAGAACAGTATCTCAGACGCACAGAGATACAACTATTGCTCTGCTGTAGAAAACACAATGAGAACAGACATTTAAATACATTACAGAAAGACTTTTTAAATAGAAACCTTGTGGCATTAGGTATACTCCCTTAAAAACGTTTGTAAATTTGTTGGAAATTTAAAAATCTTCTGTCCACAGAAAATATAGATTATTTGCCACGTGCTTAATGTATGCCTGACTCACATAATTATTCAGGATAAAAAAGAGCTGCCTTCTGAGTGACTGCATTGATATATTTTCCAGCCCTGTCAGCACCACCAGGTCAGGAGTACTGACGCTCTTGGTGGGTCTATCTTGGAGGAAGTGGAACAACTCCACAGTGGTTTTCACTTTTCTTGGCTGAACGTGCCTGTCACCCCAAGCATGATGCACTGGCTGAGCAGCTTGTCAGAAACTCACAGCCTTAGGCTGCTTCTGGTGTCAAAAGGGCCTGCCTTAACAACAAGGTCTTCTGTTAACATTTGCAAGCTTGGGAACTAGCAGTGAGCTAACATGATTCTCCTTAGAAAACGATGTTTGGGGCAAGGACATTGAGAACTGGGAAATCTTTAGTCCCTGAAAGCTTGTCCTTGCCTGACAGGCAGGAGCAGTCAGTCATGCAGCAAGTCTCAGGTCTCTCCACTTGTAAGGTGGAGGTCCTTTCAAGCCCTCTTGTGAGAGACCACGTCAAGCACAGCAGGGCTTGCCCTTGGATTCAGACATCAGGGAATGCACTCATAAATAATAGATTCAAATGTTAATTAAAAAAATCTGCCACTATCCCCAGCCATGCAGAAAGCATAGTTTGCCTGTGACAAGGAAAATCCATCCATTGCCATAAAAATATGAGTTAATATATTCCATCAGTCCTGCCTGCTCTAAAAGTGCAGCCACTTTAACACTGCTTGGCCCTTTTGAAAAGGACATGTGGCAGAATAGCCATAATAATGAAATATTTTAAACTACCCCCAGGCCTGTAGGAGCATATACTTGATATAAAATAATAGATAGCAGCTTCTGAAATAAATATTGTGGTTTGACTGGGAGCAGGTGTTTTAGTCATTTTTGCTGACTATAATGTGCCAGGCCATTCCTCTGCATATCAGGATGGATCAATATTGGGAGGAGTGTCTCTTTTTTTAACCAATTAATTAAACTTTTTTTTTTTTTTACAATTCTGAGCAGAATAGCAAGTTAGTCCTGAAAATACATACAAAAGAGCCAGATAAAGTTGTATTTTAAAACAGGATTTTCAATTTTCTTGAAAATAATGCAGCTGTTAAAATCATGGCCATAGTTTTCAGGAAGCTGAATGTTTTCAGCATGTCATAGCTGAAAAAAACATTTATAGCAGCCTTGAAAGCTGAGCAGAGATGACTGACCTTCTCACTATTTAATTCCCCTTGTTTCATTTTGCTTTGTTTCTAGATTGAGAAAATCTGTTGATTGGGCTAAATTGATGGAGTGCAGTCAAAAAGCTGAGTATAAAGGATTTTTCTGTGTCTAATGAGCTAGAAATAGCTACTAAAAAAAA